ATTGTTGATTCTCTGTTTGGCTTAGTTTTTCAGATCTTTGTTGTGGAGGGACGGCGTGGTGCTTCTGCCTAGAGCGCCATCTTGCCGGAGTCCTCTTCATTTATGATTTTATCTTCTTACATACTGATTCATGTAAACTAGGAGTTTCATTTCCATTTTTACTCTGTATATATGTATTATTTTAAAGAACATTATTTTAAGTTCATCCAGTGGAGTCTAAAACCAAAATGAAAGTGCTTCATGACATCGTATGAAAATCGTGAAATGTAACAAGTTAGACCCAGATTTTTTAGTCATCCAATCTCTGAGAAATGTCAAAAAGTAAATACCATCAAATACTGATTACTTTGGAAGTTGCTACTTTCCCTCGCTGTTGTTCTTAGTTGCCATAGTGTTGATCTGACTTGTGGCAACCCCATGTGTGCAGAGTAGGAATGCTCCATAGCATTTTCAAGGCTGTGATCTTTCAGAAGCAGATCGCCAGGCACCTCTGGGTGGATTCAAACTACCAAACTTTTGGTTAGTAGTCGAGTGCTTAACTGTTTGCACAACTCGGGGACTTCCTTTCCCCTACTAGGAAGCTAAAATTGAGAAGTGATCAGCTATGCCATTGACATCATCTTGGTACCATTTGTTTCTTTGCTAAAGTAAACATATTTGCATCAAGTTTAAACATCTTTTCCCACTATCCCATGTCAGTAAGTGTTGAAAGGAAAGCAAAAGTTTAAATTAAACAATCTGCCTTTCCCCAGTTGACACAAGAATAAATCATGTCAGATACTCATATTCCCTAACTCCTTGCATCTTGACCTGGATACTAACTTAGCAGATTATTAAGGTCAAAGTATCAAAATATTATTCCTTAAAAAAGACCGTGTTTGTGCTTATTTAGAGGTCACAGCTTCACAATGAGCCTTGTCCACTAAAAGGACTCCTTATATTTGTTTGAAAAGAACATGCTGCCCCTTTTCCAACAAAAACATGCAAGCACAAGGCTGTTTCCTTTCCCAGGTCCATGGGTGTGCATACGGGCTCTGTCTGACCAGCATCCGTGTGGTCAGCTTCCATTCTGCAGGGAGAGACAAGACAGCCAGATTACTAACTAAGCTTCTGAAACATTATGCGATCAAAGTTAGCCTCACCACGAGGCGAGCGGGAGGGATTGCTCTGGACCACACTGGAGGAGAGTGGAAGTCTATGGCCCATCCGAAAAAAAAAAAAATAAAGGATTTTTTTGCTACATGAGACAAATGGAACAAATAAGTCATGGTTAAGAGCAGGGAGTTTGGTGTCATATAGAGCTGGCTGGGCCTAAGTCCCAGCTCTGTCTCTTACCAGCTGTGTGACCTGGACAACTTATCTACCTCTTCAAGCCTCAGTCTCCACAACTGTGAAAACAAGGCTAATAATAGTACTTACCTCCTAGAATCATTGTGAATCAAAACAAGACAAATGTTTCTAAAGCGTTTAGCAAAAAGACTGGCCATCTCAGAATAAGCACTTGGTGAATTCGTCAGTAAAACTGATTTAGAAATAGTCAAAGTAAACGACCTACACATACAAACAGCCATGGCCATCATCTCCAGACTCCAAAGTCCTTTATGGTGCAGCTGATGTCCAGACAATTCTGCTCCAGTGGGTGCCCTATCTGATCCCATCTTCTCTACTGCCAGGGTCTGAACTCAGAGGCACATGGCACACCGGGAAGGTTGAATGTGAAGTGGACCTCAGCTCTACACTATGTGTATTCTTTTTTTTTGGCTTTAACAAACAAATTTATTTTCTCACAGTTTAGGAGGCTAGAAGTCTAATTTCAGGATGTCAGCTCTAGAGAAAGGCTTTCTGTCTCTGTCAGCTCCAGAGGGAAGTCCTTGTCTCTTTTGAGCTTCTACTCCTGGGCAATCTTCATGTGGTCTTGGCATGTATCTTCCCCATCTCTGCTTCCTGACTTGCTTGGTTAATCTCTTTTATATCTTAAAAGATTGACTTAAAGCACACCTAAAACTAATGCTATCTCATTAAGATAAAGAAAACCCATTCCCAAATGGTTTTACAACCATATGTATAGGAGTTAAAAGTTACAACACATATTTTTGGAGGACACAGTTCAATCCATAACATTATACCCTTTGGCCTCCCAAAATTCATGTCCTTCCCACATGCAAAACACATTCACCCCCATCATATCATCCCAAATTCTCAGATCAACTCCAAGTTGTTCTCATCTTCTGAGGTGTATTCTTAATATTATGATTCTAAGTAGGTTGACAGCCTTGCCCCAAAGCCTAACATTTTCTCAAATAATGTATCTTTTGTCAGATTAAAATGGGCTCTAAATTCCAAACAAACAAATTGGAATAAAACCTGTTTGCCAATTAGAACTTTATATCTTCAGTAGGGCTGACAGCAATTTTATTGTGTGTGTTAAGGCTATTTTAACAACTAAATGAAGTGCTTCAAAATATACTGAATACATTATATTAAAGCTTGTTATTACTACTAGTATCACAAAATTAGAATTTAGGGGCACTTAAGTGCACTAAAGCAAGCATGTGATATGTATTATCTTGTTTGATTCTCACATTATCCTATGAAGTTAAGTAACATGCCCAAGTTGCTCACACATTAAGTAGAGGAACTCTAGAGCCCAAGGTTTTGGCCCCTACACTATACTGTCTTTGTCTATACGGCATGAAAGGAAAAAAGTGGGGGTTCTCTCAGCTACAAGGGGATCATATTCTTCTTAAATCCCTTTTAGATCAAGGTAAATTCTGAACTATGTACAAAATTACATAAAGGGATCCTACTCTGCTTATTTTTAAACCAAACATAAGCATGCATTTCCTTACTACATTAATTTTCATTGCAGAGAATCAGTAAATAACCCCAAGATCACAAATAGCATGATCCTTCATCAGTCATCTGGGTGTCAACTGTTCATCTGTGACACTCTAAAAGAAATGTCTTCTTAATCACCAAAGTGCGATATCAGTACTGTCAGTGAGTGGGAGATTAGATGGTGGTAGGAAGGTGAAATGCCAAGTGGGATAAATCAACAGTTGCCTATCCATTCTGAATATCTTAAAGCAGGCTTTCAAGCAATACTCTTGGCTGAGCCATATGACTTTAACCTGACTTAAGTGACAATGACACAGAACTATGTGACCTCAATGTTTTCAAGGACTTTGCCTCCTCATCAAGCTGCAGTTGAATAACTTACCCCAACAAATTTCCTGAGAAATTCCTGAGAGGCCTGGACATCTGGGTTGGAGAGTTCAATGAAATTTCCCATCATACCCTCTTCTGTAGCTGGTACTTCCTGGTAGAAGAGTTTAGCTCTGGCGTAGAACTGCATCTCACCATTGATAACTTGGCTTGTCAAAGCATACAGTTTCACTGCAAATGAAATATTACTAATATTTTTTTGATATTCATATGTCAGAACAAGCTCAATCTTATCAGGCACTGAATTTCCTCCTGAAAGTTCATAAGTTGTGCTGTGGAAGAAAGGGTATTGGGTTTGAAATCAAAACTTACTTGCTATGTGATCTTGGGAAAACTTCCTAACTCCTTTGGTCTTCACAGATCACATCTATAAATCACAATCATGTGGCACTTCTACCATTTAATAACCCTATAGTTAATAAACTATAGTTTATCACTGTATAATACAATGTTTAATAGTTTTTGCTACAATAGAACAAAGAACACCATCAATTTCATGATAAGTTTTATCTTCAAGCTTCAAATACTTGGTAAGAATTTTCTAATTAATCCTTGTTTTTAATTATAAGGTAGACTAACGGTAGATATTTTTTCTTCTATCCTCAAGAAACACATACCCAAATATCTTTGTACTAACTTTACAAAAATGTACTTGAGCTCTATCTTCTTTAAATAAAATAATAAAAAGAGTATTATGGACTGAATTGTGTCCTCCTAAAATATGTGTTGGAATCCTAACCCCTATAGCTGTGAAGGAGCCCTGATTGCACAGTGGTTAAGTGCTACAACTGCTAACTAAAAGGTCGGCAGTTGGAATTCACCAGCCGCTCCTTGGAAACCCTATGGGGCAGTTCTGCTCTGTCCTATAGGGTCACTATGAGTTGGAATTGACTCGACGGCACACAACAACGAGACAAAGAGATACAATATTTACTGAGCAGCTATTTTGTACCAGATAGTGTACTAGGTACATTCACATGTAGTATGTCATTTCATTATTTCAGAACCTCGATGGCATATTGTTTTAGGACATTTCCTTTTAGCAAAACTTGTGTTCCAACTTCTGAGGGGTAAAAGAAGAATGCATTTAAATGTGTTTTGTAAACCAAAATGTACCATTCAGATATAAATATTTTCACAGAGAACATTCAGGGGGAAAAATAGAAAGTGAATGAAAGGAAGGAACATCTGGTTCAAGATCATAGACTGAGCACATGCATTTGTCTTCCTTCCTTCCCTGAAAATTATCACAATAGACTAAATGCATAACAGTGAAAAAAATGAGAGGAAATTACCAATGGATTTGTGATTTCAACAAATTTCTGTAAGACAAAAAGAAACATATGGAACAAAGGTGAAGAAGCTGCTTCCTAGAATAGTTACAGGAAGAAGTTACTTTCCAAACATAGAGCCAATAGGGAAGAAGTGTAGGAATGAGAATGGGAGCCAAAAAGTAACAGAGTTAGTCAAAAGTCTGTCTATACAACAACCAGGTGAGAATAAAAGTGGACCCTCCTTGCACAGCAGCAGACAACACAGTAGTAATCTTAGTTGTGGGGAGAGGAGTCTCTTTAAAAAATTTAAACAAATTGCCTGGGGAGAACTATACAAGTGTGAATGTTGGGATCCCAGAACACTACTCACTCTGACATAGAGAGAACTCCAAGCTCCTCAACTGCTCATACTCATCAGAGCCTGGTAAGGTCTACCTGCATATGTGAAGCTTCTTGTCATCCTTCTCTACTCACAGGAAAGGTATATAACAGAGAAAACCTTCTTCAGTTACCTGGGATCATTGACCCTGTCCTTTATTCCTTAATATGGACAATTATCTTCAAACATATGAGGGAAAAATAGCAGCTTGAAAGAAGAAATACAAGACAAACAATCACATCTGACCCCTAAGGAAATATAAATAATTCAGAAGATGGATGAGAATTTAAAACAAAACCAAAAAACACTCATATTTCCTTAGAGAGATATAAGTACTACTGCATTCATAAATCAAAGGTAAAATACCAAGAAAATAATAATTAATAGAATAATGAAGAATTCTTAAAAATTAAAGGTATGATTACCAAAAACTTTGGAATATAAGTTAAGTGAATTTACCAAAACATAAAACAAAAAAAGGCAGATATGCAAAATAAGACTGAAAGGATTAGAACTTTAGAGACTTAATTCAAGAGGTGCAACATTAAGCTAATTAAAGGATTCAGAGAGAGAGAGAGAGAGAGATGAGAAAAATGAGAGAAGAGAACTATTAAAGAAATAATAGAAGAAATTTCTCAGAGCTGAAAAGAAATTGTAAGATCAACAAGTGTTGAGCAACGTGGATTAAAAAATAAATAAATAAAAGCCATACTTACACATATCCATAGGAAATTTCAAAACACAAGAGTAATGAGATTTTAAAGGAAAAAAGTGTTTGACCTTCAAACAGGGTTGTCAGATTTAACAAATAAAAGTAGATATTTAAAGAATAATTTATTAGTATGAGTATTATGTTGTTGTTAGGTCAGTCGAGTCCATTCCAACTCATAGTGACCCTATGTACAACAGAATGAAACACTGTCCAGATCTGCACCATCCTCACAATCATTGTTATGCTTGAGCCCATTGTTGCAGCCACTGTGCCAATCCATCTCATTGAGGGTCTTCCTTTTTTTCACTGACCCTGTACTTTACCAAGCATGATGTCCTTCTCCAGGGAGTGGTCCCTCTTGAAAACTTGTCCAAAGTACATGAGATGAAGTCTCACCATCCTTGCTTCCAAGGAACACTCTGGCTGTATTTCTTCCAAGACAGATTTGTTCATTATTCTGGCAGTCCATGGTATAGTCAATATTCTTCACCAACACCATAACTCAAAGGCATCAATTCTTCTTTGGTCTTCCTTATTCATTGTCCAACTTTCCCATGCAGATAAGGCAATTGAAAATATCATGGCTTGGGGCAGGCACGCCTTAGTCCTCAAAGTGTCATCTTTGCTTTGTAGCTCTTTAAAGAGGTCTTTTGCAACAGATTTGCCTAATGCAATGCATTATTTGATTTCTTGACTGCTGCTTCCATGGGCATTGATTGTGGATCCAAGTAAAATGAAATCTTTGACAATGTCCATCTTTTCTCCATTTATCATGATGTTGCTTATTGGTCCGGTTGTGAGGATTTTTGTTTTCTTTATGTTGAGGTGTAATCCATACTGAAGGCTGTAGTCTTAGATCTTCATCAGTAAGTGCTTCAAGTCCTCTTCACTTTCAGCAAGCAAGGTTGTGTCATTTGCATATTACAGGTTGTTAATAGGTCTTCCTCCAATCCTGATGCAATGTTCTTCTTCATATAGTCCAGCTTCTCGGATTATTTCCTCAGCATACAGATTGAATAAGTATGGTGAAAGGATGCAACCCTGATGCACACCTTTCTTTGATTTTTAAACCATACAGTATCCCCTTTCTCTGTCTGAACGACAGCATCCTGGTCTGTGTACAGGTTCCACATGAGCACAGTTAAGAGTTCTGGAATTTCCATTCTTCGCAATATTATCCACAATTTGTTATGATCCACACAGTCAAATGCCTTTGCATAGTCAATAAAACACAGGTAAATAGCTTCCTGGTATTCTCTGCTTTCAGCTAAGATCCATCTGACATCAGCAGTGATATCCCTCGTTCCATGTCCTCTTCTGAATCCAGCTTGAATTCCTGGCAGTTCCTGTCGATGCACTGCTACAGTCACTTTTGAATGATCTTCAGCAAAATTTTGCTTGTGTTCAATATTAATGATATTGTTTGATAATTTCTGCATTCTGTTGGATCACCTTTCTTTGGAATGGGCACAAATATGGATCTCTTCCAGTCAGTCAGTTGGCCAGGTAGCTGTCTTCCAAATTTCTTGGCATAGATGACTGAGCATCTCCAGCGCTGCATCCATTTGCTGAAAATCTCAATTGATATTCTGTCAATTCCTGGAGCCTTGTTTTTCACCAATACTTCCAGTGCAGGTTGGACTTCTTCCTTCTATACCATTGGTTCTTGATCATATGCTACCCCCTGAAATGGTTGAATGTCGAGGAATTCTTTTGGTGCAGTGCCTATGTGTTTTTCTTCCATCTGCTTTTGATCCTTCCTTCATCATTCAAAATTTTGCCCATAGAATCCTTCAAAATTGCAACTTGAGATTTGAATTTTTTCTTCAGTTCTTTCAGCTTGAGAAATGCCGAGTGCGTTCTTCCCTTTTGCTTTTCTAACTCCAGGTCTTTACACATTTCATCATAGTACTTGACTTTGTCTTCTCAAGCTGCCCTTCGAAATCGTCTGTTCTGTTCTTTTACTTCATCGTTTCTTCCATTCGCTTTAGCTACTCTATCTATATTCAAGAGCAAGTTTCAGAGTCTCTTCTGACATCCATTCTGGTTTTTTCTTTCTTTTCAACGACCTCTTGCTTTCTTCATGTATAATGTCCATGATGTCTTCCCACAACTCATGTGGTCTCAGGTCATTAGTGTTCAATGCATCAAATCTATTCTTGAGATGGTCTCCAAATTCAGGTGGGATATACTCAAGGTCATATTTTGGCTCTCGTGAACTTGTTTTAATTTTCTTCAGCCTCAACTTAAACTTGCATATGAGCAATTGATGGTCTGTTCCATAGTCAGCTCCTAATATCTTTTCATAGATCTAGTCAGTTTGATTCCTGTGTTTTCCATCCAGTGAGGTCCACATGTATAGTTGCTGTATATGTTGTTGAAAAATGTATTTGCAATGAATAAGTCATTGATTTTGCAAAATTCTATTGTGCTATCTCTGGCATCGTTTCTGTCACCAAGGCCATATTTTCCAACTACTGTTCTGGAGACTAACAGACTATACTTATACTATATATTATAGTATACTACTATATATTACATATTTGGGGACATATATATTATAGTATAAGTATATTATACTATATATTATAGTATAAGTATATTTGGGGACATACTTATACTAATATACTATTCACTGTTTAAATCTGAAATTCAAATTTAAATGGGTACTCTGTATTTTATCTGGTAATCCTACCTTCAAAAGACTAGAACCAGGCTTATATCACAGAGCTTAACAACAAGACAAGAAGCAATAGTAGTGCCTTCAACATTCTGAGGGAAAATTATTTTGAATCTAAAATTCAAT